TTCATACCTCAGTGACCAAAATTTTCAGAGTCCGGAACCCAGTTGTGGTTCTTTTGGACTCAAAATACACAAATAGGTGGTAAAAAAAAAGTTACATTTTTATATATAGCGCCACATTACCTGGCGCTATACATTAACAGTAACGGCACCGTTAATGTATAACACCAGGTATTGTGGCGCTATACTGTAAAATCTGACACGCCCCAGTATAGCGCCACAATACCTGGCGCTATACATTAACGGTTCCGTTACTGTTAATGTATAGCGCCAGGTATTGTGGCGCTATATATAAAAATGTAACTTTTTTTTTACCACCTAGTTGTATAGTTTGAGTAAAAAAAAACCACATTTTGGTTCCGAACTCCTAAAAACGTATCAAAAACCAAAACTACCATTAAAATAGCAGCATCCCACAATCACAAAAATACCATTAATTGCACACGCGGAGAAATTCGTCAGAAAAAAATCACAAGAAACTGAAGCCAATATTTTTGTACGTGGGATTCTGAATAGAATCAATGGCGGTGATCGAGCACAAATCGTACGCTAGAGTTGGTCTTTTGGGCAATCCTAGCGATGTTTATTATGGAAAAACCTTATCTTTCAGCCTCGGCAACTTTTGGGCTTCAGTTCGGTTGGAACCTTCTGAAGATCTCCTCATCGTACCGCATCCTACTCACGATCTTGTCCAGTTCAATTCCATTACTCACCTGGTCTCTCAGCTCTCTCTTTTTACTATTATTTTTTTTTTTTGTGCTGATGATCGGTGTTTGTGAAAAAAATTATTAGTCTAGTTAGAGACATATATGGTATTTCATAATAGGGTAAATGTGAGGTTCATGGAGTGTTGAGAATTTTAATTTGGTTTGAAGGACTAATTATTTAGTGTCATAATGTAATAGCCTGAATAAAACATATAATGAATATAGAGAATTAATTAATCTTGCTTAGAGTTGAGGCATAGTTTGATTGATCGATTGATTGATTAACTAGTCGGATATCCATATACCACTAGTTCTAAATTCGCAAAGGTTTCACTTTCTTACATCAACCTCGCAAAGTAGGGTTAAGCTCTGCGTACCCTCTACCTCCTCAGACCCCACTCGTGGGATTACACAATATTTGTTGTTGTTGTTGTGAGATTGGATCCTCTATATGTGCCTTGCGCTTTTATTTATTTATATAAATTTTAGTAGGATAATTAAAATAATGAACAACTAATTTGGTTAACCATCCGGTTGATATGGTTATCCTTATGGCTTATTCATATGGTCGAACTTTAGTCTCACAGATTGGAGCTTTTGTGAAATTACTGACCCAATGTAGCTGCATCTCCTTTTGATTCAGTATGGACTCCGTTAGAGTTTGGTTAACCGTATAGAGAACTATACATAAGGACAAATTACCATTTAGATTGTTTCTGTTTCATTATGTAACTTGAATTCTCAAGTCACTGATGTTGCGGTAGCATGTACCTGGACTTGGTGAAATGGTTATGGTAATCGTACGTTTAAGAGTGTGTGTGTGTGAGAGAGAACATTACCTTTCTTTGCTTAGTAAAATTGGTGGATTTGTATTGGGTTATTTGTACTTCTCATTGGCATGTACGGAGCTAGGGTGCGCTTCGCCGGAATGATCAATTTTTTTATGTATATATATATTAGGTGCTGAATTCACTTAGCTTCTTCGCGTGTTTATATTTTTATTTCTTGAATCCCCTTGAAGGTAGAGGTAAGGTCTGCGTATACTCTACCCCAAACCCCACTTGTGGGATTACACTGTGTTGTTGTTGTTCTCTGCTACTGCTCATTGGGTGTCTTTTCCTGGAAAGCTGATAATGCAAGATCCAAGTCGTCTGTTGCATATTGAGGAGTAAATTCATGATATAGACCCAAGGCAGGTGAAGTGAAGGAGCGGACATCTGCGAATTTTATATCAATTCTTTTTGAGCTACTGTAAATGAAGGGTTTCCAGAAGCGCAATGTCATTAGACATTTTTGCAGTCATGAAAGAGTTAAAAGTATCATGCTATGGATAGAGAACAAATTTCTACTTTACTTTTGGGCTTTTTGTGACGGATCTTCCACTTCTTATCGCTTTCTGTTTGATGTATATGTGTACTTATGTGTTTAACTCATTCTTCTTGTATCACAGGTGAACCGGTTGCAGAGTGAGGGTTACTATGGAGGTGTGCCGTTACTTATGGCAATTTGTAAGATTTTTCACAATTTTTGCAAGGATAACAACATTACTCTACGTGAGGGAAATTTCACTATCTCCTATGATACTAACATTCCCCGACAGGTAGAGCTTAACCCTACAAGGTTTATCTGCTCCTAGATGGTACCATGTTTGGTGTTTTTTGTGAGTAGTTGTCAAGAAACCTCATACATGTTGTTCAGATATTCCAAAATATTTTTTCGGCAGTATTTATATCTTTATTTTGAAGCCTGAAGCATCATATGAAATTTAGATGACAAAAAAGACCAAGCAACAAATTCAATGTTTTAGGTTTTCCATCTTAATTTTCATTTCGCGATTACTGTAGCGATTATTGTAGCGCGCAGAAATTTTATTAAATTCATCTGCTTCTTCACGCCAATGGAGCCTTGAAAATCTTCATGAATTAATGTGAAGTTTACTGTAGATCGCAGGATTTGTGTTTTGAGCAGCCATGGCTGCCATCGTCTCTCCCCAGCTTCCAGCTGTGGGAGAGCCCAATCCAAATCGTAGTGAGCATATCCCCAACAACAAGATTCAACAAACTTACGCCTCTCAATTACTTACAAATAATTCTGCTTCAATCTCCACAAAACTGGTCTTAAAACCTGTCCAAATTGTTCATGGGGAACCTACAATTCAATTCACAATGGAGGAAAGACAAACTTTTGCTGTTGAAGAAGGACTGCATCAAGCAGTTGTGCTGAAGTTATCTCCAAGAGCGCCAGATTTGCAGGTTCTAAGAAGCTTACTGCCAAAAATACTAAGCATAAAAGGCCATTGCTTGATTGGTCATCTTGCCCCACGTCAACTACTGTTAAGATTGGATCAACCAGAGGATTTTGTCAACGCACTAGCCCGAGCAGTAAATTCTTTTTCGCACAGTGGCGAACAACATCAGTATAGGGTCTTCCCTTGGACAGTTGGATACAATCCTAAGGAAGAAACATCAAAGGCTGCAGTTTGGATTTCATTACCAAACTTGTCTTCAGAATTATTTGCTCGACAATCACTGTTGTCAATAGCTAATGTAGTGGGTAAACCAATCGCTATCGACAAAGCAACACAGGTGAAATCTCGACCTAGCACTGCTAGAGTTAAGGTTATTCTCGATCTCTTAGACAAACTACCAACGTGTATATGTTTGCAGCATGTTGATAATGCATCTGGAAAGATTGTCGAGGTGTTTCAAGAAGTAATATATGATAACCTCCCGGGTTATTGTATCTATTGTAAACGACAAGGCCACGTAGAGGAGATGTGTCGACTGCTTTTAAAGAATAAGATCGACGACGCCGAAACTTCGGTCGATGACATGTCCAGTGTTGATAAATTAAAAGGAGATGCCAGGGACTTCCTTAATGCCAAAAGATCTGGCCAGTCGGTGGACGATGTTGCAAAAGAAGTTGGCAACTGTAATGTGACTGAAACAGCTAATGGAGAATTAAATAAGGCTAATGCTGGCCAACAGAGATCTGCTGAAGGAATTTCTGATGATAATCGAACAGGATCAAAGGTTGTTAATGGACAAGCTAACGTAATGGAAACTATAACAGGGGCATTGCAAAATGCTACTGATCATGAAAAGCAGACTGTCAATGTAGAGGCTAAATTTCCAAATGCTCAAGCTGAAAGGGAGCAGGGATTTGAGCAGGGGACTCTGGCTCAGGGAACTGCTGTTGCACCTGTTAAACCAGTGGACAAAGCAGCAGTAGAATATGCTGAAGGTGTTGGTCAATTCAGGACTGCTTCTAAGTCCCCTTCAGTTACTGGAAAGGTTAATACACAACAGAAACAGTCTAATGTTCCGCAAGTATCAGGCCCAAAGGATGCTGTTGATCGAGGTGAGGTATCTGCACAATTTGGCAAGGACAAGGTAGGTACCGGTGCTTTGCAAGTTGCAGCTAGTGCTAAACGTCCTGATGCTCGAGCAACCAATGCCAAGAACCATGCAACTAATGTGATAGTAGGACGTGACAAATCTGGAATGGAATCAGATACTGTATTTTTAGCTTTGGATGCTACTGTTGCATTGACTGCAACTGTTGATCGACTTACTGCTGGGATCCAAAATCTGGTGCTGCAGTTGATGATTTAATTGAAAAACCAACAGGTGAGGTGCATCAAAAAGGTCATAGGAATGGGCAACAAGCTGCTGCACATACACTTGCAACTGAGCAGCAAAACATTGCAGAGCAAATCGCTGACAAAACAGTTTCTGCCCAGATTTCTGGGAATAAAAACGTTGGGATTAAGAGTTTAATGATGGAAAACAAATATGGGAAGTTGATAGGGGTCGATAAGGAAGATGACATGAACAAAAAGGAAGGGGATTGGAGCTTGGTAACACATAAAATCACCCACAAAGAAACAGGTCTCACCAACGCAACATAATAGCACTGTTCGTCAAAATGATTTCACTGTTGGTTCCAGCTCAAGTAATTTCAAGGTTCTTGCTGCTGCTAGGGACCCTGAAGTAGATGCAAAAGGCATACTTGATAGAGGAATGTCCAAACATTTAGTTCCAATGCCCAGTAATGAACGAGGAGGGCAAGGCAGTCACGATTTAGTTGAAAATTTGGGCTTTCGACGAAATGACTCCAACAATAACTTGAGGAATGAAATTATGGACATCCAAGCTCACAGTTCAAATGCACCTACATTGCATTTTTCCAATCCTTAGGTAGAACAAATCATCAAAAATGCTCAAAATGAAATGATGAAAAATCTACAATGGTTAAACAGCCTTTGGTCACATTAAATACCTCTGTATTTGATGTTCTATCACAATCAGTTGAAACCTACGGCGACTTTGAAGGTGAAGCTGGGCAGCTTTTTCTGTCAACCGGAAACAATGATGAATTTATCCAAGCAAAAGTGATCAAATCTAAACTTTGGTTCCAACAACGTGAAGAGGATGACGAATACGAGGATTGGGGTGATGGTCATGCAGGGTTTTCATCTGAAGAAGCTGATTAGAAGGTCGATCAAGAGAGTGCAGGTGAAGATCTTGACTGTCTAGCAATGACAAAATATGATGAGGGACCAGCAGCAAGTCATAGGAGCAAATTGAACATCAACGCTCCAATTTTTTTGCCCAGAAATTCTCCAAATGGAAGCTTGAAGCGAACTGCAACAACACATACAAAGCAGTTAGTCCCAGCTGAAACTGATCAAACAGCTGCTACAATAAAATCTGGGCAGCAGCATATTGTAACAGATAATCCAATCTTCGATGCAATGGAGCAGCAGCTTAATCAAAATGATCCAGTTATTAAACCTACTGCTGATCGCACATCAA